ACTTGAGCCACGTCTTGGAATACTGGGCGTCATATCTGCGGCTGAGGCTGCCTTCCCAGATCTGGCTGGACTGCTGCTACGGGGTCTCTGTGGGTTCCTCTCCTCCCTGTCACCCTCCACCCCTGCCAGAGTTTACTAACACACACATGAAATCCTGGCACCACCCTGCTCACATCTTAGACTGTATTGTCATCAGGACAAGCTGTTCGTTTTCTTTCTTTCTTTCTTTCTTTCTTTCTTTCTTTCTTTCTTTCTTTCTTTCTTTCTTTCTTTCTTTAATTAGACTTTTGCTATAGGGTTCATGTACTCACCAGAGAGAGACAGAGAGAGAGACAGAGAGAGAGACAGAGAGAGAGAAGTGAGAAATCACCCCCACCACCACCGCCCCCGGGGAAGCGGGTCATGCTGCAATCCCTTCTCCTCATTCTTCTTTTGGGATTCTGGGTGCACACGTGCACATCCCAGGATGATTTTCAAGCTGCAGTGAAGTTGGCCACGTGGGATCCAACCACCTTAACCACGAAGCCACTGTGGGCTGGCCCTATATATTTCTCTTAATGGCAATTAAAGATTACCTAAGATACATGGATAAAATCGGGAATCCCACCAAAATAAAGACGGAAACACCAGGATTGGTGCACTCCCGCTCGGCCTCTGGAACCATGGAAGTGTTTTTCCTGACTTACCTTCCATGGTTTCACTGTGAAACCAGCAAGCCTCTGCAGTGCCCCAAGTGCAGCTCCTGGGGACAAGAACCCTCGGGACAGGGCAGCCCTGCAGGCATCTGGCAGCTGCTTCGTAGCCACACAGCCCGGCGCCCTGCAGTCTGCGGTCCGCTAAGTTGTTGGATACCCTTCTGGGTCTTTCTGATAAAACCATGACGTGGAAACTTTAGAAAACAGCATTTTAAAATGAATAATATTTGGATGAAAACCTTCTTGGATACAAAATGTCTTTACGGCTCTTCATCCATACAAAATACAGAACCTAATATGCTCGCTTGCTTTTCTAACCAGAGGTGTGCTAGCTCAGAACCAGAGTTGAAATAACGCTATACTGACTTTGATGACGGCGTTGTTCCACCTTGATCCCAGAGCTGTTAGTTTCATGATACTTCTAGGCAAAATGATTCTATCTGACAGAAGGGAAGCCTACTCCTTTTATGTCACTTGGGAACAGTTTCTGCTATCGGAGGACCGCAGGATGAAACCTGAGCACTCCCGACAGGACAGACTGTTTTCGGCTCTCTGACACTTGTCCTTCAGTAGGAAAAGCAGGAGTTAGAAAGAAACCGTCACCACCGCAGAATGGGATGATGGGGCAATGGAAATAAGATTTCTAGCCCACAGAAGGAAGGCCGGCCCTGGGCCACAGTGAAGCCTCTCTGTCATGAGTGTAACGCAGTTTCCTGGAGAAAGCCGTTGGCCGTACTGGTCCACAACGCAGCGTTAGGTTGAGTGCCCTGCTTAGTATCACCAGCACCCTGTATCGGCCAGCAAGGTCACACCGCATGTGCCAGCACTCGCCGACAGAGCCGTTCGATAAACGTTACCCTCCTATTCCACTTCCCCCAAGCTCTTCCGCACCCGACTGTAAAAGACATTTCCACTCTATGACTTATCACCCAGTTGTTTTAGCAAATACTACAAGAATACATTTGCAGTTGCAAATGCAAAGCAGGGACAAAAAGAGTAAGTCTCATTTTCTACCTACATATGCATACTTTCTTTTAAAAACTACATCATGAGGGACCAGCAGTTAGCGTAATGGCTATGTCGCTGAATTCCCATGTAGTCAACCGCGGTTCGAGTCCCAAAACCAGTGGCTTAAACTCATGCCGGGCGCATGTGCATGCGTGCCCAAGATCCTGACAGAGAATGGAGGAGAAGGGATCGTGGCGTGGCCATCCCCCCTAGGGGGTGATTTCTCACTTTCTGTCTCTCTGTCTCTCTGTCTCTCTCTGTCTGTCTGGAGAGTGCATGTGCCCTATAGCGAAAACCTCTCCCCCACAAAAAAAATTACATCACGAGACAGTTTTAAGAATAAAGACATACTATCCAGGAGGAAATCAAGATACTATTATTGAATAAAATATCCAATAATTTGCAATAAAGAAGTTGTATTGATAAATTATGGTAAAACCCACATTAAAATGATACTTAAATGATCTGGGGGAAGTTTATAATCTCATGTCAATATGCATTTTTTAATAATTATTTTATTTAAATTTATTTATTTTATTATTATTTTATTTGACAAGAATGAGAGAGAGAGAGAAAGTGAGAAAGCAAGCTGCCAGATCTGGGACTCAAACAGTGGTTGGCCATGTAGGAGTCCAGCACCTTAACCATTACACCATCTGCTGGCCCTAGTTCACTACGTATTAAAATCCTGGAACCTCTAAAGATTCAACATTTGTATGTAGTTTTATTTACAAATCTTATACATTTTACTAATGTTCTTAAATCTTATAAAAAATAAAAGAGGGGTCAGTCAGAGGCACAGTGGTTAAGGTGGCTGGACCCCACACGGTCAGTCACATGATCTGAGTCTTGAAAAACACACCCGGGGTGCGTGGGTTCATGCCCAGACCCCCAAAGGATGGAGAGGTGAAGGAGAGACTGCGCGTGGCCGTCCCCCCAGGGGATGCTTTCTCACTTCCTCTCTCTCTGGTAAGCACACATGCCCTTTGGCAAATTTTTCAATAAAATAAAATACTAGTAATAAAAAAACGAGTCACTGAGCCGGTACGTTACTCCACGGCACGGTACTCCGCGGCACGGTACTCCGCGCTGTGCCTGGGATGGGTACTCTGTTATAACGAATGGGAATGAATGTATTGTGCTGGGCTTGCAGATCAGTACGAAGTGTCACCAGGTGTTCTCCTGGAGAAGTTCACACCATAACGCCTGGAGAAGTAGAGGTCGCCACGGCTTTACCTGTGTTTTCATTTCTACCTAAATTCAGTTTGTTGTAACTGTACCTGCTGCACCTTCTCCAAACAGGCAAACCCCCTGAGCCGCGTTAGGATAACGTTTACGCTACCGAATCCCACCTATCTACGAGGTCTACAGCGCATACAAGGTAGAAGAGCTCCACCGAGCTAAAAACAAAACAGACAGGAAATAGACCACGTTCAATGTCTCGCCTCGCCTTCAGTGTGCCGCGTCTACACCCTCTCCTCGGGCCCACCTGCAGCAGCTTTTTAGTCTCCATTCCACGACGTGGCTTTAATCAGCCCCCCTGTGCCTGGGATGGTCTTGTTTGCACGTATCTTGTCTAACTCTGCCTCTCGTTTCTCCCCAAACCCATTCTTTTTCTTTTTTTTCTGATGATCACAGGGGTCTGCATCTCATCATCTGAGTCTGCCCTTCATGGCAACCACCGTCTCTTTGGTACAAAAAGAGTCCTCTCTCACCCAAACTCCTCAAACTTCCGCATACGCCTTCCCTGTGCTCAAGTCCTCTTTCTGAGCACTCTGACAGGAGTTGGCTCCCTGCCACTCTCTACCAAACCCACCAGGCCACAGGCTGGTCCCTCCTGGTTGTTGGTTTGCGTTTTGCATTTGCTAGCCGCTTCCTGGAAGCTCACCGGCGGCAGCAGTCTGTGGCTTTCCAGTAGAGCGACTGTCTTCAGGGCGTTATTTCCCATAATGCCTCAGCACAAGCCTGTCACTCTAATTAGACCCATGGCCACAAAGTCTCGTTTCTGTGTTTCTGACTCTCTCCTGGAACGTCACCTGCGTCTTCCCAAACCCTGTGTCCTCTCAAGCTCCAGCTAGAATGCACCTTACAGGAAAGGCAGTGTTCCGTCAGTTACACTGTGTGGAGATTCTGATGTTTGATGTGTGCTCAGCCTCTGCAGATCCCAGGGCTCCTGCAGGGCATCAGGTCTTATTCCAAAGCTCTAAGCTCACTGTCATGCCCACATTAGCAACGTGAAATAATGTGAGTCTTGTGAGCTAAGGGCATCCCAGATAAAGTAAAGGAGAGAACTTAATTTATCATAGCAATTAAATAAATTGGTAAAACAAAAAGAG